CAACGGAAGTTAACTTAAAATTTCAGTTTCTGATTGGACCCCAGGCAGGAGTAGGCGGGTTTTCACGGACAGAAAAATAGCTGAGCGGCAGCGACTCACAGAGGCAACTAATATTTGAAATGACATCGTTAGCGCTCCTACAGTAATGTCAGCATTATCAGAAGTGTTTAGAAGCCGACAGCCAGCATCGGAAACCCCATCTATCAGTGGGATAAAGCTAGCAGTCCCTTCGGAAATGGCAGTAAAGCCAGCCTGCACTCCATTTTAATGTGCACGACAGCACAAGTTATGGTGCTCTCTTTTCAAAATAAAAGCGCATCTCCAGTTTATGTTTGATAACAGAGTTTGATAGTACGTGTAAGAGAGTTTGATAGCAAATGTGAGAGAGTTTGATAGCGAATGTGAGAGAGTTTGATAGTAAATGTCAGAGAGTTTGATAGTATATGTAAGAGAGTTTGTAAGTTTTGGCCCATGGGGCCTCTCATAAAAGACTCAACCTTTGTGATTTAAACTGGTGAGCTATACTGTTGTGTTTGCACGTAATTCACAATGAATTAAATTCAAAAGGTAGTAGTACTGTAGAGGGTAGTAACTAATTACTTTTTCTCAGTTACATTTACCTGATTCATTATTTTATTTTATTTTTTCACAAAAACATACCGAATACTTTTGCTACACTGTACTTTACTTTTACTTGATTAATGTTACTACTTCTCTAGAGTAAAACTTCTGGATACGCTCCCAACTGCATTACTAACTGGAGTAAATGAAGAACAAATTTGCAGCAGATACAGACACACAACAGTTTATGTTAAAGTGAGACTTGTTTGAACAATAGGTTTTGTTAATCTAAAGTTAGTTTCGATCAGCTGAGCCTGCTGAAACATTTGAAGGTCGAAAAGATGCAGAGTGTACTGTCACTGGAAGTTTTGACAATATGCAATACCTACAGCATTAATATATTTTATATTGAAAAAGATAACTTGGAAAAGTTTCTTCAGCCTTAATTTGTTATTTTGTAATTATAATATGTCTTTTTAAATCCGTTTAAAAAATACAAAACTTTGCACATAACTTTACACATTTTGTCTGTTTGATGGCATAACTGTTAATGTTCTGATCAGTTACTTAATATTTGAGAATCTACCTCATCAAATACTTTTTTTACTCTTACTTGAGTAATTTCTTGGACAGATGCTTATTACTTTTACTTGAGTAAAAATATGTGTACGTCGTGCTACTCTTCCTTGAATACAATTTACCCATCTCTGGTTAAATGTCAACTAAAAATTAAACTGATCTTCATTTTAGGTTCTATCATCTGATGGCAGACCAACCCCTGACTGACTGGGACAGTGATCTCTTTGACTGCTGCGAGGATGCACAGACTTGTAAGAGTCCATCCTTGTTTCTTATACATCACTACAAGGGCTAAATACTTATAATATCCCATGATTGATGTGTTTCTGTGTTTTTCAGGTTGCTATGGTTTCTGGTGCGGGCCATGCCTTGCCTGCACTGTTTCAGGCAGATTTGGAGAGAGCCGCTGGCTCCCCTTATGTGACATGTGTGTTGATAAAATGATCTCTCCAGCAGCCCTGTCTCTAAGAGTTGCCATGAGACACAAATATGGTATCAAGGTATGGCAAGATTAGATATGAATGACATACATGCCCAACAAACAATAAATCTGATTCATTGTTCCTTTGTAGGGTTCACTTTGCAAGGATATTGTTGCGACCAGCTGCTGCCCAATATGTGTCTGGTGTCAGATGTACCGCGAGTTAAAACATCGCAAAAAGTCCCCCGTCGTCATCAACATGCAGGTGCAATCTCCTGTCAACATGCAGCCTCATCCAATGATGGCAGTTCCTCCTCAGCCTGTTTTCAACAGATAAGCAGAAATCATCCAGGCTTCCTTTTGATTTTCATCATCACAATATTTAACATTATCACCATTGCAAGATATTTTAATTTTATGTATCTTAATTTGGACAGAACAAATAGGTTCAGCAAGATCTAGAGAAATTCATCCATGTGTTTATCTTTGGTCGCATTGATTACTGCAACAGTGTCTTTACAGATCTGTCTAAAAAAATCATTTTGACAGCAGCAGTTGATAGAGAACGCTGCTGCTGCTCCTCCTGTTCCCATTAAAACCAGAAAAATAGAGCACATCACCCAGTCCCTAAGTCTGGAGGCTAACAATTTGAAATTCCTTCAAGTCTAGACTGAAAACCCACTTGTTTAGAATTGCTTTTGAAACATCATATGAAACATTAATCAACATTCTTATGTGTAATGATGGCACTTAAAATATAACCAATTGTTTACTGTGTGTTCTCTGACTTTGTAGTTTTGTCTTTTTATGATGTAAAGCACTGAACTACCTTGTTTCTAAAACGTTCCATACAAATAAACTTGATTGACTTGATTGATTGTCTAGTTCTTGAGGCAGGTCTTTGTGCATCTGGACTAAGAACAATTAATTCATAAGTTCATCTGACATTCTTACACAAGGTCAAAGTCTTACACAAAATACCTACATAGGCTAGAAAGTTGTAAGTTTAGCAACTGACAAAAAGTAAGCATTGAATTTATCTGCTGAAAAGTGAAAATTTTCTTTTAAACACAATTCAGTTTAAGCCAAAGCCACTAAAATTCTCTCTTGAACTCCTAATATAGTGCCTGTGGCAAACTGAATACAATATCCATATTATTTTAAAAGTTGCATTGGAACATGCGTCCCAGCAGTAGCGTCCCTATTTGCCTGCTGATTTGGGTGTCAACTTTACATATGGGCTTGGCTCAGGTGACCTAGTTTGTTGTCACATTAAAAACAGAATAGTTAGAGTGAAAAAAAAGTTCTTGTAGTATTAAAATAAATTATGCACTTATTCAAAGTTGGATGAAGAAATGTTCTAAATGTAATATTTTTAGTGAATGGAACATTTATTGCAGTCTGAAGCAAAATTTCAGGTGTCTTAAGAAAGTCTTCTAAGCTCTTTATTGTTTTATATTCGGTGTAGCATAAACTGTGTATTAGAAGACATTCTTAACTTGGGAAGAAAAACAGTAAATTAAAGGGTCATTGTGCCTTCACCCGGACACAATCACAAGTGAGCTGCAAGATGACCATTCCACCCACTGAGCCACAGTAGACACTCCTTTGTTCTTGTCATAAATCAACTAAAACAAAGGAGTATCAGCTTATTTTTTTTTTCTTTTGGAGTTTTAAAGTGAAACTCCAGAAAGCAAACTGTGCAAGTCAAAAGGCAAATGAATAGTAGCAACTGGAATGTGTATGCAAATGTTGTACAGTCCCAAAAATATTTAGGAAAGATTAGCATATTTCCAAAGCATAGGGCATAGACGTTCTTTGCATTTTTCTCAATGTTCTAAATCAGTCAGCCATACACAAACACACCATACACAACCAGTTTTCTATCAAAACACCTTCAAGCGATAGCAAGATTTTGGATAAGATTTGGACCACAGTCTGCAGATTGGTCAGGTAAAACTGTATTTGATTATTGGAAAGTCTGATGTATTTTTAAAACACAGAAACCGTTTTCTCATAAATAAGATTTTTTTGTACTGCAAGACACAAAACTATTTCCTAACACAGAAAAAATATATTGCTGCATAGCTTTGACTGTCCTCATTAGTGATGAAGACATTATTGAATGTCATCACTAATAAAAGACAGTAATAAGGGCAAGTTTAGAACTATCACCTAATAAAAGTGTTATGGTATTTATAAACAAAAATGTATTAATGTCAAACTGCTTTTACATAATATAGAAAAGTACCGATTAATTGAAATGCTGCTAAAGTTTTAGACTGAATGAATTCAGCAAAGATTACAGCTAGAATGCAATCTAGCTGTAATCTAGCTGTATTTGGAATGCATGCATTAATTTTAAATTAATGCATGTGTCATGGGATGCAGAATAGTGTTGTAGTACATGCCTGCTGAGAACTGCACAACCCTGTCGTGGGAACGCTCATCGCTCTAAACTCCCGCATACTGATGAGAAAACGGCCTGATAAAGGACTGAAGAGGCAACTTTTAAAGATATTCATAACATTATCATGTTTAACCATGTAAGCCCTAAAACAATGGGTCTTATTTTGCAGATTAATTCAAATAAATATGGTTTTGACACCTTAATTGAGACATGCGAATTGAATGTTTTACAGTGTCTGATGAATATGTTCTCTGTAATTCCCCGCTTTTTCTTTTCACAACATAATAGCTTAATTCATGACAAAGTAGAGGCCTATTTTATATCACCCTTAACTGTAGCTATTTTATATCACTCTTAACTGCAATCTATTAATGTAAGAGGGGATGCATTTTAATTTCTGAGCCTGCCTATATCTGCATTGCCTGTCTATTGTCCTATTGGTATTAAACTTATAACAGTAGCTAAGAGATTAAGTGTAGATGTAGAAAATAATGTTTATGTAGAAAAGGTTATTTCACTCTTAACTCTTTATTTCTCCATGTTATCAGGGGGATGCATTTTTTGGCAAAGCAAATTATTAGCTTGCCAATATCTGCATGCCCTATCTATTTTCCCCAAATATTTTCCTATTGATATGAAACTCATACCAGCAGTTAATAGAACAAGCATGTTTATGTTGAAAAAGTTATTCCACTCTTAGCTCTTTATTTCTTCAAGCTAGGAAGGGGGGATGAACTTTTTGGCTCTTTGGATTTTGAGCGTGCCAATATTTACATGCCCTGTGTATTTTCCCCAAGTATTGTCCTATTGGTTTGAAACGTATACCAGTAGCTCATAGAACAAGTGTGATTATGTAGAAAAGGTGAGATCCCTCTTAGCTTTTTATTTCTTCACGTTTGGAGGGGTATGCATTTTTTGGCATAGCAAATTATTAGCCTGCCCTATCTATTTTTCCCAAATATTATCCTATTGATATGAAACTCATACCGCTGTGGTAGATTAGCTACCGCTGCTATTAGCTAATCTAAAACAGCAGTTCGTGGGTTGTTTCTTTCCTGGATTCTTTACACATACAAACTGTAGCTCACAAAACGCACGTTTCATTAAACTAAACAAAAAAAAAATAAATATTGCCGTCTTACCTTTACTTATAAAAGAAGTCTGTGCACTGCTCTTTCTGCACAAAAATATCAGTTCATCCAAAGCCAAGTCTATCCTTGACAAAAGTTAAGAAAGGAAGTCAGAAAAGGCGGTTTCTAGCTGGGCATCCTGTCTTTTCTTGTACCAGTTAGTTTGAAAAGAGCGGGTACCCTTCTGTCTCGTAGTTTGAAGCAAACCTTTCAACTCTGGTGTCGGTCTTCCTTTAGTTATTATTTCCTGCTTCACTTGGAAATCCACTTTAGAAAACGATTTAAGTGGAGAAATGTATTCATCCATGTTGATGTCGGAAGAGAGGAGAAAACAATAAATCTATTGCTGCACTCGACTTATTTACTGTATGGCTAGCTTGCTGTCTCTTACTCTGCATAACTGGAGTGACAAGACCAATGTCTGGGATCATGAGCGCCCCCTGCC